TTTCGTTATGAGAGCCGGCGCAAAGAGGAAATCCAGCCTCAGCTTCCAACGGAATTTCTCATCCGGCAGTAACATTGACGGATGCTCCCATAAATAACGGGAGTGCAGAAACTAATTGGAGTTTCTTGTTAAACAGTTTGCTCCTCTAGCTGACTTTGTGAATTCTCACTAATCTAGGTTTACATTATATACATATATGTATGTATAATTCTTGTTACTTTATGCGACTATTTAAATTAAAAAAAAAAAAAAATTATTTTTGTTATCGAAAACATAAAATTGTAATTTTCAACCCGTGTAATAAGTCTCTTGCAATAAGTAACAATTTTTTTTTTTTTTTATTTTCTTATAAAAATTATTAGAAGGTAATTTCATTTTTTTTCCCCGCAAGTAAATTATTGCACTTTATTAAGTATCTAGAGCAAGGAAATATTTTCATTTCCATAATATTTCTGAAAACATTTGTGATATATCAAAATATTTTTAATAGTCACATATAATTATGTTAATTGCTATGATAAATCAGATGAACTCTGTTACATTACCCGGAGAATGAAATTTGTTTCATAACATCGAAGAAGGATATATAATTTCAAATCATGATAATAGTGAATGATAGTTATTAATGGTAATTATGGTTAAATGCAATTATTATATTAATGTAATGGAAAATAATTAGAATAATAAAAATAATAAATAAATAAAATTTTAAAAATATTCCCAATTATTAATAATAAAAATTATTAATATTAATTATTAAAGATTTTTTATACAATTTATTATAATGGTACAAGATAAAAAAAAATCGTACGACAAAGATCAAATATTCATAAAACGATAATAAACGTAAAGTAATAAAGTTATTTATATAAATTACTTGTCAGTAAAATAATTGAAAATAAACATTTAAAGAGCACAATTTCTCTTAAAAATATATTTAGATAGAAAGTGAAACATTTATTTATACATCAGAATCCGTTCAGTAATTTATTATATTATTATTGATTTCACTTTGTCAATTATTATCAATGACGATAAAAAAAAATTATTAAAAATTTTCAAAAATAAATACCTAATAAATTTATTATTTTTTAAAATAAATTTTTTTTTGTAATTTTAAAAAAATTTTTAATTAAAAGAGTTGCGCATTTAATTGACATATTTATATTATTATGTCAAATATTTGCAATTATATATATCAACAATTTTTATTGAAGTAAATAAAAAAAAATTTATACCAGTACATGTTCTTAGACATTTTAATTATTAATTAATTATTCGACGATATTTTGTAACTTTAACGTGTACATATATATATATATATATATATATATATATATATATATATATATATATATATATATATATATATATATATATATATATATATATATATATATATATATATATATATATATATATATATATATATGTGTACTTTACTCGTTATATATGGTCGAGGTTAGAAAGTGGAACGATTCGATTAATTATGACGGTTTAAGTATATAGAGGAGTTTGCAAAAAAAAGAGAAAAAAAAATTGCCAACTTACATATATTATATCTAACTTTCACTTTTTAATTCATTTTTTAATTTTACATTTTTGTAAAATTATCCCTCCAAAGAACAAAGGAAATAATTTAAATTCGTACAAATATAAGAGTTAATTTTTATTTTGAAAATTTTATGTAAAAAAAATATTCAATTTTTTCTTTAATTACCTATTATAGTTTTTTTTTGAGGCAAATAATTTATTTATTTATTTAATAATTTAATTCTATAATAATGCTATTAATTATTAATATCACTGTACAATTAATTGTTTATATTATTATTATTATTAATTATTACTACTATTATTTATAATAATAATAATAATAATAATAATTATTATTATTATTATTATTATTATTATTATTATTATTATTATTAATTGTTATAACTATTAATTACTACTAATAATAATTTTTATTACTATTAATTACAACTACTAATAATCATTATTACTACTATTATTTGCTATAATAATAATAATTATTATTATTATTATTATTATTATTAATTGTTATAGCTATTAATTACTACTACTAATAATTTTTATTACTATTAATTACAACTACTAATAATTATTATTACTATAAATTAGTACTACTATTAATTAATACTACTATTAATTGTTATTACTATTAATTACTACTGCTAATAATTTTTACTACTATTAATTGTTATAACTATTAATTACTACTATTAATAATAATAATTATTATTACTATGAAATATTACTAATATTAATTGTTATTACTATTATTATTATAAATAATTATTATTTCAATTAATATTTAAAAAAAAATGATGAAACATTAAATAATAAATATTTGCTAAAAATTGAAAAACAATGTTACAAAAATTTGATCGTGACGCATTATTTCTGGAATTAGTTGATCGAATAAAGGTTTTTTTTTTTTAAATTTAATTTTGCATATATTGTATGAGGTAAAGACATAACATTTTTTTCTCCATACTTTCAATTTTTTTTTTTTTTTTTTTTGCATTTGAATATCCAGATATAGTTGATTAGTGGCAGTAACTATAATTGATAGGATTGGCTTTAATTTATTCCTTTGGTCGTATATATATATATATATATATATATATATATATAGGTACACGCGAGATAAATAAAATGAATCGATAAATATATCCGCAACTCGGATAAAGCCTTAGAGAAACCCCATATAATTTCTGAAACTGGAGAGATAAACTGACGTGCCCCGCGCGTGTGTATATATATATAGGTGCATCTATCTGGTCTATCGCATTACAAATTACACTATATGTCGATAAGGCCTAAGTGAATTCCACTTTCATTCGAATTTCCACATGTAAATTAATCCATGTTCGTTACACCATTTCAAATTTATAAAGAACGATCGATATCTCTTTTTGCGTCGATAACAAATATTATTATTTTTTTTTAATGACTCTTTTTCACAAAATTATTATTAACTTTTTAAAAATAATTCATTTTTATTGAGCAGTAATTCCAATTTTTTTTATAGATAAATTAAAGAATTAAAGATAAATATAATAATTATTATTATAATTATTATATAATAAAATTATTTTAAAATTATTTTCTTTTTAATTTATAAAATTTTTACTTGATTTTTTGTAAGAAATAAAAAAAAAAGTTTAGTATATATTAGTTGTCTGAAAAAATGCGAAACGAGATTTAGAAATTCAAATTCTCTCTCTCTCTCTCTCTCTCTCTCTCTCTCTCTCTCTCTATATATATATATATATATATATATATATATATATATATATATATATATATATATATATATATTCGCTCGCTGAGAAATTCAATTTCAAGCATTTCCCTTCTATCCAAACAAAAAGCTTTCGATTCAATTAAAGTTGAAAGTTAAAGAGAGTTTAACTCAACATCCCGAGCAGCTGATTGGCTCATTCTAAAGTTAAACCGAATTTATCTATACCAACTTGGGTTGAATACATACTAACAAAATCATTTATACTTTCCACTTTTTCTAACAAGCTATCCCATTGTTTATCATTTGAAAAAAAAAAAATTATTAACTTTTCTAGAATCTACTAAAAAAAAAAATTTGTAATTTTTTTTTTTTTAAATAATTATTTAATTTATTTTCTCCAATAAAGATATTTCTGATTTCTAGACGTATAAAAAAATAATGCAAGAGAAAATATATTGTATTTATTATTCATAATTATTTATGAGATATATATAATGAAATTTATTGATTTTATTATCAGGACGGGGGGGAAAAAAAACTGATAAAATTTATTCGCTTATATTTTTTCTAAAATAAGAAATGTAATTTGTTGACATTTTTCGAGTTAAATTATTATATTTATTATATAGATTTTTTTTTTTTTTTTTTTTATTAAATCTAAAGTTATTTTCTTGTCTGAATATAAATGTGGAAATAAATAGTCATAATGTAGGTAGTCAATGAAACTAAGCTTGCGCTCAAATGAATCTTCATTCCGCATGTGAGCTATTCGTAAATTGCAATTCTCATATATACGTAAAATTATAGGTATACTTATATGTATATATAGTGCTGTATATAGCCTTGAACCTAGAATAACCTCTGGCCGCATACCACAGGCTCCGTCGCATTACACCGAATCATACTTTGCAAGTGTGTATAAAGAAATTTTTATTTCCGACTAAAAAAAAGAAAGTAATAATGTAAAAAAAATTTTCCTCTATTTCCATTTTAAAATTTCTTTTTTTTTTTAATTTAAACGAAAAGAAAAACTTAATAAAACATTTCGAATATTTACTATTATTATTATTATTATTAAAATTATTATTATTATTATAATTATTATTATTATTATAATTATTATAATTATTATAATTATTATAATTATTTTTATTATTATTATTATTAGTAGTAGTAGTAGTAGTAGTAGTATTATTAATAAATTATAATAATTAACAATGATGAGTAAACGAGAATGAGAATTAAATTAAAATTTGAATCCGAGGGGAATCGAACCCTAAACGTATGATCCGACCAGACTCCACGTAACGTAAGCGCTTAACGATTGCGACTATCGCGAACTTTAGAATTTTTATTTAAAATATTTAGATTCTTTATATACCTTTTTTATATTCATTGAATATTTCTGTTGTAATGAAAAATAATTTATTTTTTTTACCTAATATTTAAAAAAAACAGGAAATATTTATTATAATCTAATAAATTTTTTTCTGACAAGTGTGGAACAATATTTTCTAATAAAGAAATAATACAATTCCAAAAGATGAAAAATTAAGTTTTGCTCTTTTAAATTAAATATGTAAATGTGAATGTAATAATAAAATTATAAAATTGTACATATATATATATATATATATATATATATGTATGTATTGCATAAGTATATGTATCGGTAATGAGTAATAGTATAAACAAGAGAGTGGTTGAAGGCCAGTATATTTAAATTGGATCCTGCGCATAACTCTATTCACAAAGCGACTATCCACACTTGTGAACTATTCGCTTTTATTTAAAAGTGTCCAGTGAATTTTTTTTTTTTTTTATTTAAATATCAAAAATAAATTCATAATGAAGAATATTGAAATAGTTGTTATTCTTGTGTTTTTTTGTGTCAGTGTAAAATCAGGTAATATGATTTAACAATTAAATTTAGATGAAAAAAAAAATACAGTTTCGTATATATAACCAATGAAAATAAATATATATATATGACATTTAAAAATGCGTAGCGTTTTTCAAAATATATTTTTTTTCTTTATATATTGAAAAATTTATTATTCAAAATCTATTAAAAAAAAATAAAAAAATATATTAAACAAAAAAAATAAAAATAAATATATATAAAATATGTTTAGATTTTTGGACCGATTTTGGTAATACGTTTCACAAATTACAAACAGATTTACAAGAAATGGGAAGATCTATTCAACATGAGACACAAAAAGTGGCACATGAATTACAACAAGAGGGAAAATTTATTAAACAAGAGGCAGAAAATTCAGCTGCTGTGATAAAAAATAATATTCGATTACAGCAAAATGATATTTTAGAAACTGTGGAACTAATTGAAAATGGAGTACCACCTGAAAATATAAAATCGAACACAACTTCTCTTACTACGGTATTGTGATTCTTTTTTTTAACAATAATAATTTAAATTAAAAAATAAATTTTAATTTCAATTTATTTATAAAAAAAAAAAAAAAATTTTAGAATGTTCACGGTAAGATTATTACAATAAAAAATACAATATTCACAACTGGAAACGACGTAGAAGGTGCTATTCACAATGTTGAAACAATTTATGAAGAATCAGAACAGAAAGATTGGTCAATAAACACATTTGCATGGAATCGCAATGGAAGGACAAATTCACATATTTCTAATAATGGCGGATCACAAATAATTAGCAATGGAGGTTCAATTATTACAATAGGTTAAATAATGTCAATTAAATAATTCTGGGGAAATGTATTTTAATACATTATATATTAAAATATTACAAATATAATATAAATTGTTTTCAATTATTTTTTTTTTTTTTAAATAACAATTGTATATTTTCAAAATAAATTTTATTTCTAAAAATGTAAACGGTATAAAATATTTTACTATCGAAACTAATTTAATATAATTCTTGTATAATATTAATTTATATTAACAATATTAATTTTGATTAATATTTAAAAAAAAAATTTGAATATTTAAATTAGAAATCAAAAATTGCAATTTTGTATAAAAAAAAAAAGTCGAATGTCTTGGATAAAATCCCAGATGGAAAAATTCAATTTCAAGTTTGGATCTTTTCATTCTATTCTATAAAACTTTTCTTCTCTTTTTTTTTTTTTTCTCTGACATTTTTCTAGTTTTCATCTCTATTTTGTCAATTCGTCGACGATAAAATAACCCCACGTTTGGACGGCGGGCAATATTAAAAATAAAATTCAACCTCGAGACAAATCCAATTTATTTTGATGTCGATAATTATTGCGCGAAATTGTTTCTGAAATTGAATTTTTGTTTGAGAGAGCCAGAGAAAAATATTCTTTTATTGAATCTCGCTCGACTCGAGATGAATTGGAAAACATTTTTTTTTTTTCCATATTCAATTTGTATTTCATAATTTTGCATTTTGATGTATCCTATGTAAATAAAAAATAGGGACAAAGAACGATTTTTAAAGTTTTAATTTTATTTTTTATTAAAAAAAAAAATGTTTTAGAATATTTTTGGAATTTATTTAAAAATAATAGATATATTCTTTTTAAATTGTTGGCAATTGCCTTAAATTTTGCGAAAAAAAAGTGGATTATATATATATATGTGTATAAAAAAGTTTAAAAGTTTATACATTTAAATGTAGCACGTTTGTACAATGAATTTTCAGACAAAAATTCTCTTGTCTTTTCTCTCTCTATACGAAAAATTAGCTTTGCATTTACAGACTCCATTTTCCACGAAAGTGTATTTTCACGTGATTTCCGTGCACGCGAGAGAGTTTCATCTGCACGTTTTTGTTTTGTTACCACCGGGAAAACGAAGTTAGACAAATGCAATTTTCCTTTTTTTGTTTTTTTTTTTGTTTATATACTATATAAGAAAAAGAAAAATTTACACACACAAACTTTTAATTATTTTAAAACAAAAAAATTATTATTTCCATTCAATATGCTTTTTCTAAATTTGAGAAATTCTTTAACGTTTTTTTTTTAAATTTTAATTATATTTTAATTTATATTTATTATATTGGACCATTTTTTTAAGTTGATTACATTATGCAATAAAACAAAAACAAAAAAAAGGAATAAAAAAAGGGGGAAATAAGTGAATAATGTGACGTAGGATCGAGTGATGGTCAAAAAGTGAAGGGTTATTTCTTGACAAAGGGGGAAGGGGGGGTGAGTGGGGGTTGAGTGAGTGAGTAAAGGCTTGATGATTTGCAATGTCTTGGACCCCCATAGAATAAGAGGTCCCCCTCCCCCTTCAAAGTCTCATTTACTCAAGGTAATCGTTTGCTGTGCAGGACCTCCGGCATAACTTACGCATAAATTACCCAAGTCCCCCCCTAACCCTCCCCCACCCTCTCTCTTTTTTTTCTCCTTCCACTCATGGATAAAGAGAAACAAGCATATATTGGCAACACTAATTGGCACTATATAGTTATCCACTAACAATGCTAATTCAAGTTCTTAACCCCACGACTTGTTATTTCTTTATCCATATACCCATAACCCCCCCCCAATCCCCTTCCTCCCCCTCTTTCAATTTTCTTAACGCTTTTATTTTGCAAATAAACCGCCCCTCCTTTTAATCATCCTGTCAAGATTTTCCCACATTAAAAAAACAAAAAATAAAAAAAAAGAATGAAATTCTGATAATAATCTAATATTATTTTAATTTTTAATTTAAAAAAAGGGATCATTTGTTTTATAGTAATATGGTGGTATAATGATGATTAATGGTTATTATTAATTACTATAGAATTGTATCAACTTTTGATTGTAATCAATGATTAAAATTACTACTGATTTTTATTACTATTTTTTTTTTCTGATAAGTAGTATTTTTAGTAACTACTGTTGTTTATAACTAGTATTTTTAATAACTAGTATTATTTATAACTAGTATTGTTTATAACTAGTATTTTTAATAACTAGTATTATTTATAACTAGTATTTTGAATAACTAGTATTTTTAATAACTAGTATTGTTTATAACTACTGTTGTTTATAACTATTTTTTTTAATAACTAGTATTATTTATAACTAGTATTATTTATAACTAGTATTGTTTATAACTAGTATTGTTTATAACTACTGTTGTTTATAACTAGTATTCTTAATAACTAGTATTATTTATAACTAGTATTGTTTATAATTACTATTGTTGATAACTAGTATTTTTATAACTAGTATTGTTTATAACTAGTATTCTTAATAACTAGTATTATTTATAATTACTATTGTTGATAACTAGTAATATTTATAACTAGTATTATTAATAACTAGTATTTTTAATACCTAGTATTGTTTATAACTAGTATTGTTTATAATTACTATTGTTGATAACTAGTATTTTTAATAACTAGTATTGTTTATAACTAGTATTCTTAATAACTAGTATTATTTATAATTACTATTGTTGATAACTAGTAATATTTATAACTAGTATTATTAATAACTAGTATTTTTAATACCTATTATTGTTTATAATCACTATTGTTAATAACTAGTATTTTTAATAATTACTACTATTAATAATTTTCATTACATATAAATACCATTGTTTAAAATTATTGTTTTTTATAACTATGATAGTTTATAATTACTATTGTTAATTCTTATAATTGTTTATAAAATATATACAATTGTTTATAATTATTATTGTTAATATTTACCATTGTTTAGAGCTATCAATAAAAACCAACCATTGTTAAAACTGAAATTTTTACAACTACGATTGTAATTACGATTGTTTATAACAATCTTTGTGTATAACTACCATTAATTAAAACTACAGTACTTGAATGGTAACAATTATGCAATTTTTTTTTATTAGTTTCTTTTTAAAATGGTAATTTTTTGTTTTAAATTAATTTTTCCCCTTCAACATATATCTCACTGAATTTAATAGGTATTTTACCATAATTTTCGGAAATAAAAAATTATTTTCTGAATTTTTGCATTTATAACGAGATTTATAATAATATAATAATAATAATTATTATTTCATTTTATGATTATGACGGTAATTTAGTAAAAGTTGTGTGTTGTCTTTGTCGCTTCATTAGTAATTGTACATAAATTGGAATTTAATGGGACGTGTGTTTGTCATGTCGTTATGTATTAAATATGGTTGTCAGACAATAAACCTCTTGATCAGGAAATAAATTCATTTAACATTGTCAAAACCGGACATAAATCATCAAGAGTTATTATAGAGAATTGAGAAAACAAGGAATATGAAAGAGGAAGAAAATAAATCTCAAGCTTAACAAACTTAAAGTGCTTATAAACTTAATGGTCTCTGTGTGTGTGTATATATATATATATACACACACAAACAAATGTCTTGTGATTTGTTTCTTGACTATACCTCACTTTTCTAATTACATAATAACCTTAATTGACTGTGTACTTTTAAAAAAAATTTTTTTTTTTTAAATTAATTTCTTTTAAAATTTATGGTAGTTACCAATAAATGATAATTTTTATTTGTTGGTACTTTTAGACATACTTGAAATGTATAAATTACCATTAATTTTTATAGTTTATTCTTTTATTTATTTAATTATAATAAAAAATTTTTTTAAAAATATTTTCCTTATTTTTTTTTTAATTACATCGTTTTTTTCTAATTAGTTTTATCTTTTACACTATTATATACATACATATATATATATAGTTGGATAATCGATATTTTCGATTGATCTCGCGTGACTCTGTGAGTTTGCGTGATTTTAGACAAAGTATATATAAAGTTAACTCGCACACGTTCACACATTGTTGAAAAGCTTGTGTGCAAAGTATTTGCCTTTGCTTGTTTCCTCACCAATTTACAAATGTGTAAATGTGTATATATAATCGTCGTTTTAAGTGCACACTCACACTAAAAAAAAAAAAAAAAAAAAGAGAGAAAGAGAGCTTGTTAACCCTTTCGGGGTGTTCGATGCTCGAATAGTTCTTATCTAACCAATTATCTCATTTATTTTTTCTTATTGTTACAAAACCCCGTCTTCCGTTTCGTGCAAAAAATAAAAAAAATTCTTATTTTTCATGTTTTAAATAATAATAAAATTTTCTCTTATTTTTTTTTTTTGGTGTCATTAATTAATTTTATTTATCTTTTTATTAATTAATTTTATTTACATTATTATTATTATTATTATTTTTATTATTGTTAATTTATTTTGTTTATATTCATTTAATTTTACGTTAGAAATCTAAATTTAAAATAAAATTAATTTTGTTATTTAAATGAATTTATGAAATACTAATTTTTTTCTATTTATAAATGGTCGATATTTTATATTTTAACCTCAAGAAATAATCCCTCCATTCATTCGATGATGATGAAATGATAATCTTGTTCCATTCCATATAAATGTGTCAATTGCCCAATCTTTTATTTCTGAATCTTCAAAAATAGTTTCAACAATTTTTAAAGAACCTTCTGTTACGAATCCAATATGAAAACTTGTAATTTTTATTGTCATCTGCTTACCATTCACGTTCTAAATTTAAAAAAATAAAAATAATAATAAATTAAAGGCTTTTTTTTTAAATTTTTTTGAAAAATTATTTTTTTTATAATTTCTTATTAATATAATATATATAATTATTACCATTGTTAAAGAAGTTGTATTTGATTTTTTTACATTAACAGGTGCATTTCCATTTTCTATTAATTTTGCTATTTCTAAAGTTTGATTTTCCTCTAATGTGAAATTATTTTTTATCATAGAATTCTCTTTTCGTTTAATTAAATAAGTTTGATTATTAAAATCGATTCCTCGAATATCATATCCCATAATATCGTAAGAATTTTTTTTTCCATTATTATACCATTCAAATGTTTTTATTATCCACTGCTCATTTCTTGATTCTAAATACAAACTTATTACAATATGAAAAGCACCTTCAGTTTTATTTCCAATCGAGAAGATTGTCATTTTTGTTGTTAGCCATCTACCACTGATATTCTACAATTTTTTTTTTTTTTTTTTTGAAAAATAAATTAAATTCCGTTCTGAGGGTGTCGATTATGTAATTTGATTTGATTCTGACATCAAATTCAAATTTATTTTAACGTCAAAGTCAAAAATTCGAGAAATTCATTTTTTGATTTTATTTTGACGTCAAAGTCAATTTTAATTTGAGACATTTATTTATTTATTTAATTTTGACGTCAAATTCAAATTTATTTCTTTAATTGAATGGTGAATTTCGAAAAGGGCTCAACTCTAAAAAGGCTAAGAGTCATTTTCACTATCAATTGTTATGCGAAAATGACACTTACGCTTTTTCGAGTTGAGCCCTTTTCGAAATTCACCATTCAATTGATTTTGACATTAAATCAAATCAAAAAATAAATTTGAATTTGACGTCAAAATTAAATGAACAAAAGAATGTCTCGAATTAAAATTGACTTTGACGTCAGAATCAAATCAAAATTACATAATCGACACTCTTAAAATTTTTTTTTTTCAATACAAATTTTTAAATTGAAAAAAGAAAAGTAAAATTTAAAAATTTCTTTAATTAACGAAAATATAATTACCAATGTAAAAGTAGTTGTGTTTGAATTTAAATTAGTTAGTGGATTTTCATTTTCTATTTGTTCTGCTGTTTTTAAAAATTCGTTTTGTTTTAATAACACCTCTTCTTCAGTGAACGTTTTTTGTTCTTGTAAATTCACATCAGCAATAAATAATGCAATAATAAAAAATATTTTCAAATTTTTCATGATAAAATTCATGATTTTTATAACAAATTAATTGTAAAATTAATTAGTTTTTGAGAGAAAAAATTTTTTCTCTTCACACAATAACGATCGATGGTTAACTAATTTCAAAATTTGAAAGTTTTATTTTAGAAATACTTTTCGACTTGGCAACAGTGGATTTTTTTTTTTTTTTTTTTTTTTTGTTAAAATGTAAATTTGACTATTCAGCATTTAGTGGGATGATGCTTTTCAAAATCAAAAAACAGTTTCTAAATTAAAAAACAATTTAATGATATTTATTTATTTTTTTTTAATTGCAATTGTTTTTATTTTGAAATAATTCATTACAGACAATGAATTTATATAGTTATTGTAATAATTTAAAAAAAAATTTTTTTTTTTCGAAAAATTACTTAATCCATAACTAATTAATAATTCGTCCATTGATAATTATTTTTCCACTATTTTCATTAGGAACATTTTGAACGTAAGAAGTTGAACCTCCATTATTAATAATTTCGTAGTTAGAATTATTATTAATGTAAGAAGTTGTTCTTCTATTGGTAAATTCATTAGATTTTTTTGCTCCATTGTTATTCCATGAATTTGTTGTTATCGACCAATTATTTATTACTGATCCTTCATAAACAGATTGGACAGAATAAGTTTCACCTTTTTTGTCATCGCCAAGTGAGAAGATTGTAGATTTTATTGTCATAGGTCTACCATAGGAAATCTAAAATTTTTTTTAATATATAAATAAAATTCAGTTCCAAATTAATTTTTTAAAAATAATTATTAAAAATTTAATTTTTTTTAAAATCAATTTTAATTAATAATAAATTAATAAATTTTTTATTAATTTAAAAAAATTACCGTAGTAAAAGAAGTTGTGTTTGATTTTACATTGACGGGTGCTTGTCCTTTTTCTATTAAAATTGCTGTATTTAAAATTTCATTTTGCTTTAGTTTCGCCTTTTCTTGTTCTTGCTCCATCAATGCACTCTGTTTTTCCCAATATTTATTCATTTTTTCTGCCTCTTCTTCCATCCGTCTACCTTCTTCTTCCATCCGTCTTCCTTTTTCTTCCATTTCTTTTTCAAAATTCTTAAAACTATCCTCAAAGTCTGACCAATAATCTAATATTGAACACACAAAAATTCAAAATTTGAAATAATATATTTAAACATATAAAAATTGTAATATAAATAAACTAAAAAAAAATTGTAATATAAAATACTTTTTCATATTAAAAAAAGTGATATAAAAAGATTATTTTAAAAAAATTGTTTTCTTTTTCTAACTTTACCTGATTTTACGCAGCGAATTAAAAAGAGGGCAAAAATTAAAAATAATTCAAAATTCTTCATAATGAATATATTTTTTGTTATCAAAACTTTGTTAAGAAATTAAAATTTCAGACGATAACAAGCGACTTATAAGTTAACAAATAAGAGCCGTCGATTAATGAATCAACTTATATATACTATATTTCTCATGTTTGCTATTACTCATAACATTTCTTTTTTTTTTTTTATTCCACGCCCATTTACATTTCAAATAATTCACAAAAATGTGAATCATAAATTAATTTTCATAATTTATTATCTTTGATATTTTGTAATTTTTCTTTCGCAATGTATTTACAAATTTTTAATAAATAAAACAAGTTTTACCTGATTTGACGCTGGCACAAAAAATAATAAGAACGAAAAATATTCCAAAATTTTTCATGATGAATATATATTTTTTTTTTTTGTTATATGACAGTAATTGAGAAAAAAAATTCAAATATTTGTTTTAAATATAATTAAATAGTTAATTATATTTATTTTATAGTTAATATTCGCAGTATTCAAAAATGAAATTTACACGAAAAAAATAAGTTTAAGGAAGCAATTTTTGTGTTTACACGAGAATGACCAACGTTGAACTAACTTAAATTTCAAGAATACTATCATTAAAATGACATTCATAAATTAAATTAACTCAAATATTTATGACTTCATTTATTTGAGAAATTATTTTAAAAAATAAATGTCATTGATTTTAAATTTGTATACAGACAGACAAACAAAAGTCTAATTTATTTTTAATCTTTCTATATTATAAAAAGATTACGCCGCCACCGCTGTTTCAGAAATTTTGACCTAGGAGGGGGGGGAGTCCCCCCTCCTAAATTTTGAGGGTATGTTCGTTTCAAGACTCTGAATATAGCCGCAAGTCCCCTCCCCTCCCCCGCCAAAAATGACCTAAATTTTGAGGTTATGTTCGTTTCAAGGCTCTGAATATAGCCACAAGTCCCCTCTCCCTCCTCTCATTTCCCCTCCTCCGCTAAAAATGACCTAAATTTTGAGGTTATGTTTGTTTTAAGACTCTGAATAAAGCAGTAAGTCCTTCCCCCTTCCCTCATCTCTCTCCGTATTTCCCGCCAAAAATGACATAAATTTTGAGGTTATATAAATTTCAAGACTTTCATAGCCGCAAGTGGAGGTGGAGTTCCCGCCAAAAATGACTTGAATTTAAAGGTTATGTACGTTTCAAGACTTTTTCAATAATTTATTGGTTTTTAGGCAATTTCATTGAAATTATTTTTAAAAATAATTTCTTAATGTCGATTTTAATTTATTTAATTATTTATTTATTATTAATTTAATTAATTTTTTAATTAAAATTCAATAATTAAAAATTAAAAATAATTAAAAATATTATATATATATATATATATATATATATATATATATATATATATATATATATATATATATATATATATATATATATATATATATATATATATGAATAAAAGCAAACAATGGGAATAGTATTTATAAAGATTTGAACGACGTGTCTCATTTTATCAATCAACTGTTTTTAAATTAGTCGCTTATTATTTAAAAAATTATTATCTTGAACATTTTTTATAACAAAGAAAGTAAGTTTTGAATTAGTTTAAATTTTTTCTTTTCCATGGTCAGCGTGAAATAAATAATAAATAATTTTTTAAAAAAATCTAAATTTTTATAAAAATCTTTTTATATCATTTTTTTTTATTAAAAAAAAAATTATCTTATCCCGTGTGGAAAAAGCCACGATCTTGCCCTCAAGAGTTCGGGGCCCCCGGCGGGGGCCCATGAGGGCTGATCCATATGGCGAATCCATGAGGGGCACCGTAGGGGCCCCGCATGGATCGCCCTCATGATCGATTAGCAAAATTTTCCAAGTCCAAAAATCAAATATTTTTTTATCACCAAAAAATTAATGTTTATAATGATTCACAACAATGAAAAACGCGTTTTTAATTAAAATATATTTTCACTTTTTTTGAAAATAACACTCACACTTATGGCGAATCCATGAGGGGCACCGTAGGGGCCCCGCATGGATCGCCCTCATGATCGATTAGCAAAATTTTCTAAGTCCAAAATTCAAATATTTTTTTATCACCAAAAAATTAATGTTTATAATGATTCAGAACCACGAAAAACGCGTTTTTAATAAAAATATATTTACACTTTTTTGAAAATAACACTCACACTTATGGCAAAATAGATGAGGGCCACCGTAGGGGCCCGCATGGATCGCCCTCATGATCGATTAGCAAAATTTTCTAAGTCCAAAAATCAAATATTTTTTTATCAACAAAAAATGAATGTTTCCAATGATTCAAAACAACGAAAAACGCGTTTTTAATAAAAATATATTTACACTTTTTTGAAAATTCGCCTGAGATGATTCATGATAATAATCATAAAGCATATAATTAATTATATTTTATAAATTGCATTTGATTGGAAAATATAATTTAATATCTTAACTTTAACTAAATGATGTTAAGCACTTTTCTTTGTTAGGTATTTTTCAAGTTTAAATAGCATCAAGAAGTTAGCATTCGTTTTGAAGTAGCGTGCGTAGCGTAGTTGGTAAAGCGTTAGACTCATAGTCCGTAGGTCGTAGGTTCGATTCCCCCCATGCGTTAGATTTATTTATTTCTCAGGTTTGCGTTTAATCATTAATTCTATGTATGAATTAATTGAAAAATGAAAATATCGGTTAATAGTATGCATAAATTACATATTTTTTAATTTTTTAATTAATTAATTTATTATTACTTTTAATTATATCCGACAGTTAATTAATTAGAACGTTAATTAATAAATTCAATTTGAGTAAGAATTTAATTTAAAATTGAATAATTATTAAATAAATATGTTATTTATTCATAACTTAAGCTTATTTATTATCAATTAACTTTTATTATTAATATTATTGATTAAAAAACATTATGGCAAACTTGAGGGCAAGATGAGGGCAAACGTGAGGGCCCATAAGGGCGCCCGTAGGGGCACCCTCATGGATCGCCCATGCGGGCGCCCTCATCGATGAGCATGTCGTTTCCATGAGGGGCCCCTATGGATCATCCATATGCGCCCCTCATGGCATGAGGGCGATCCATAAGGGCCCCCGCTGGGGGCCCACATCACTTTTCCACACGGGATAGTAACGTATTTTTTTTTTTAGTTGATTTATAATAATTTTTATACGTTTAAATATTATTTTAATATTTTTTCTATGTTCAATATTAGATTTTATTGGCCATCAGACTTTGAGGATAGGTTTGATAATATTTTGAAAAAGAGATGGAAAAACAAAGAAAGATGAATGGATTCCATCCATATAACTATTTAGTTATTAACTAAATTTTTCGAAAAAAATATTGTTTTTTTAATTATATTACAATAACTATATAAATCCATTGTCTGTAATGAATTATTTCAAAATAAAAATAATTGTAATAAATTTAAAAAAAAAAATCTAATCCAATCTAATAATTATTTTGTTCGAATAAATATTTATATTATATAAAGTAATCCTGTTAATATATTTTTTAGTATACGAATAATAATTTTCAAGTACTTACCGATCGCAGAAATATCAGAGTAATGAAGTCTGAAACAAAAAAAAAAAAATTTTTTTTTTAAATTCTATTGTGATAATATTATTTTTATTTAATTTCATATTTTTTATAATAACAAAAGCAAACATAAAAATAAAAACCAAAAAATAATAATAATTATATAGATATAATAGAAAATAAATTATATAAACTCCTTTTAATGAAAGAAAAAAAAAAAAATTTTTCATACCCGTCACAGTCAAGTGCCCCTCTCCCCTTTAATTAAGACGTATGTATAATAGAAAATTATCAGGTGTTAATTATATTATTAAATCAACATTAGAAATGAAAAAAAATATAGGTGCAAATGAACAAGTGTCCAATTAACAAAGTATAAACAATATAATAGTTGATACGTTATCATACAAACGAGTCAACATATATAATTTTTTTTACAGTTCTTTTTTTTCACTATTTATGAATTTATGCATTAACTACTATCACGAGTCGTTAATTTCTTGAGAGCAAGACTGTGGATGATGAGAGGACAAAAAAAAGGGTGGGGGAAAAAATAGAGGCAGTGTCAAAGGGGAAGAAAGAGGATGTTAAAAAGGAGTTTTACTACCTCCTTTTCTTGTTCCACTTTTATACTATATATATGTAAGAAACTTGGATTTTGTTCCCTGAATGTTTTCCTATATACACTGCGCTATACAAAAAAGTTTATATTTGCTGTCAAAAAGTTTTATTACAAATTACACAAAATGATTGCAAACATTCCTCTTCCATTTTTTTTTCTCTACAGATTTATTATAAATCATCAAATTATAATTCGCCCAATCAAAAATTTACTAATGGCGCAAACAAAAAATATAAAAATATATTTATTATAAAACCAAAGTTTTTATAATATATTTAAAAACAGTTCAGTAAAAATAAAAATGTTTATAAAATAATTATAATATATATAATTATACAATTAGCTATTTAATTATTTTATTATTCACTTAAATTATTTGCATCAAAATAAATTTTTGAAAAACTTTTTTAAGTTTTTTTACTTTTTTTTTTATAAATAAATAAATAAATAAATAAAATAAAAGTTGGTTTTTGATTTTTAACAAGTGTTGTCAAGAAAATTTTTATAAATTTTTATTTTAAAAATTATTAACTTTTTTTTAAAAAAATTTTATTTATTTTTAGTTTGATCGTTTAAAAATTTTTTTTGGTTTATTGCATATCTAAAAAACAATAAAAAAAACTTGCAAAATGTTTTGGAATTAGTCTCAGGAAACTTTTTGTTTAAATAATTTTACCCGCACAAAAAAAGCAAAATAAAATACCTTTTAATTTTCAAAAATAAAATCAAAGTGAAAAAATTTGTATAAACAAAATATTTAAACAAAAAGATTCATCAGGTTCACTCTAGAACTTTTTGTAAATTAGTATTAATCAAAAAGAAAAGCCAGTACTGGCTCAATATCGGCTCATTTATGGTTTGCCAGTACTGGAAAGGTGGTACTGCACCAGTACTGATATGATGAAAATACCAGTACTGGTTTAGTACAGACTGGCCCAGCATCGGCAGCCAATACTGAACCAGTACTGCGCCAAAATAGTTAACTCTGGTATAATACTGAAATTTTTGGTTGGGTCATTGCAGAAATTCAATAATAAAAATATAATATAGAATTTTTCTCTCCTTTACAAGAGAAGAAGTAAATACAATCCTTTCAAACAAAATTTTTTTTTACAATGAATTAAAAAAAAAAAAAAGAAAATTATATTCAAATATTAAAAAATGCAACATTAATTAAATTATAATTCACTTCGTGGGGGAGTTTAAAAATTTTTCACATATTTCAATTGCCATTCTTTTTATGCGGGGTAAAGAATAATACAACTTCTATTTTAATTAAGTTAATTAGCAAATTAGTTTAGTATTCATATATATGTATATATATATATATATATACATATTTAGTGCAGACACATTTATATTGGATTTTTTTAAAATAAAAATCTCATATAAAATAGAAATGTGA